TGTGTTCCTTGTGATCCTTGTCTGATAGACGTCTGATCCGTTGATCCTTATATGATCCGTTTTTGGATGGTCCTTCTCCAGTTTCAATTGCTCAGTTGCAATGTATAAATTTGCCATGGTTGCAACTGAAAGATCAATTGGTAGAAGTCATGAATAGAGGTTTGTCGCCAAAGATGTCGATCATAGATTGACAGATGGATTGGACACTGTTCAGGTATCCTATTGCAGTGACTGGTAATAGTGTTTGAGCAGCAATCTTGATCAGAAGAGCAGGAGGGATGAGACGTTGGAGTTCTTGGATTTGCCCTAGTTCATTTAACCCGCTGGCCTGTAAGAGAGGTTGAAGGGTAGTAACGAATCGAAGACCATTTCCTCTACATTTATCCCAGGTCACTTGCTGATCTCGTTTAATGCTGCCTGGGTGTCATCTTCTACTCCAAAGGTCTGGATAAAAGACTTTCTGAAGTTAGCCCAGCTAGGTAGTCCCTTAAGTGGCGCATTCTTGGTATTAGAAATGGGTTCCTGTGCATCTGTGATGATGGTGTGAACAAAGAACTGGGCAGGTCCTTTGATGTAGGAAAGAGCGCATTGAACCTTATCCTTATCGGTCTGGATCTTCTTAGAGTTTCCCTCAAAGTATAGGTATAATTTGTCTAGGAATTCCTTGCTCTTTCCCTTGTCTCCTTCAAACTGGTTGGGTTTGTTCACCGCTCCATTATTGTTGTCTGACATATCTTCTTTGTCTTCCTGATTGCTGGGTTCTGAGTCTCCGTCTTCCAGGTTGTTTGGATGTCTGTCAGTGGGTTCTTCTTCTGGAACAGGATCAACTGGAGATCTCGATGGGTCTGGTTTAGATTCTGTTGAAACAGAAGCTGGGTGTTGTTCTTCTGTTGTGACTGGTGGGTTGACTGGCTCCAGTGAGTTGAAGATTCCTGAGAAGAAACTGGCTCTGAGGGTGGGGCTGGTGTTTGTTGACTCACTAGGTAGTGGTGTGGTGGTTAACTGGAGTGGAGATGTCCGCAGTGTAGGAGCTACTACACTCCTGCTAGATGATGCAGCAGTAGGGGTAAGGTATGGTGGTACTGGGGAAGGTTTTTCTGCTAGTGGGGGTACTACTGAGTGGCGATCTTCTCTACTTTCGATAGGGGCTAGGGATGCTGTTAGGGAAGGGATAGTCTTATCTCTTTTCCTGTTTGGGCACACTGAATCAGCACAATATTGCCAAGAAGATCCGTTATTCCACTGGTCAGTTCTCTCGCTTCTGTTATAGGTGTGGACTTTGTTGAAGCAAAGGAGTTGTCTTGCTTGAGACCTGGTTACTGCTGGTTATCCTACTGCTGTAGCCACTGTGGTTTTTTGTGACTAGGCACTAGTGGTCCTAGGGGAGTTTTGTCCTAATGTTAAGGGACCTAGCGACTAGGATTAGGAGTTCAACTATTTAACTGGTACTGGGACTTATACACGCTATAGTCCTACTAAGACTAGACTGCAAACTGAGCCGCTATATCTGATAGCGGTTTGAGAGCATATACTGGGTGAAGCAGAGCTTCAGACTAAGACTGAGACTTTGAATAGACAACTGAGTCTATTACAAGAGAACTGTCCCTATGAAGTGTACGTAGAGAACAAGAGGACAAAACTAAACTACAGTAGCGGAAGCAGTGCTACTTAAATAGGTTAAACAAATAGAGTTTAATAAGTATGAAACACTGAGTTGAATCAGTGATGTACAGTTGACAGATGTCACTGTGTTGTATCAGTGATAGAAATGAAACATGGTAGACATGAAACGTGATGTAAGTAAGACAGGAGACAAGTAACAGGTGATAGATATGAAACACTTGATGGTGATGAAGCATCAAGTGATGGAATTAGTAGTATAGTGCAGGGTCAATGACGAATAGTTAGGAAAAGAAAAAAAACCCCCTCCAAGCTATAACACAGTTGTCTATTCCAGTCTCAGTCTGAAGCAAAGCTTCAACCAGTATACTTTCTCAAACCACTGCCAGTTGCAGTGGCTCAGTCTTCCAGTCTAGTTCTAGTATAGCACAATTAGCCTTATGCGTAGCAGTAACCTTTGTCAGTAGTAGTCTTAAGTGAAACTCCTGATCCTCAGTTGTTAGGTCCCTTAACAAGAATAAACTCCTAATGAGTGAGGGTAGTGTTGGCATCAGCTACCAGGTTTCTCTCACCTGGTACTAGAGGATAAACTTGTAAATACCTTCTTAAAGCTGCCCTGGAAACAGTTGAGTTACTAGGTGCTTTTGGTACTTTTCACAAACAACTTAAATGCTGTATAGAAACAGCTAATTGTACACTCACTAGTGGCAATGTATAAAACTTTAAAGACCATGGGTCTGTGTGTGTGCAGAGATTCTGTGTTGAAAACAACCAGAACTCAGATTATAAATAAACAAGGTTAGAGGAGGCAGGGCTCATAACCTGTTGAAATATAGATGTGGCAATAAACCTTACATGTGTTGACTAGACACAAGGCAAGTAAGAAGAATAAAGAGTTGTCTTATAAGTCTGTGAAGACTCTAAGATGAGGATGAGAGAGAGAGAAAAGCACTGGCATTAAGTGTTCTACCTGGGGGTTTATATGCACAGGGAGAACACTACATGTACAAACAATTAGATAATAAATCTAAAGTGGTGCTATACACTAATCATGAGTCAGCTGCTAAATGGGGTAGTAATCTCCTGGAAGCTGACAATGGACATCAAGGAATGTGTCATATTGTCACAGAATTTCATGGTGTCTATCTTATCTTTAGCACTTAGATGATCTATATCTTATCTAATTAAATATCTACCTAGATAAGGATAGCGTAATGCATGGTGACATGTTACTAGTCCAGGTGTCTAGCCTTGTCCAAAGCAGCGTCAAATGTGCTAATCATACGTTCACACAAGATTTCCCCATTTGTACTAGAACACATACAGTCATTCAGGTGATCATCACATAGATTAGACTGCTGACCCAACACACGGTGATGGCTCACACGTTAGGTATACTTAGATAGCCAATAGCATACTAGGAGCATCAGTCAGCCTAGGTGTTAGGTGTACTAACAGTAGTATTAGGGGTCTGGTCCCTCATGTATAAAATACCAGAGCAATCCAGCGTTAAGAGGATAGACTTGTTATACTTGTCTACACTCGTCAACTTCTCCCAACTCTACTCTGAGCCTACCAGCTCTTATAGCCTACCACATCACCAGCAGACTATATCAATCTCCTATCTTCACAAGTGAGTGTTTAGGGATTAGGGTTAGAGCGGAGTCAAGTATCAAGACAATACCTTGACACATATCTGCTGACATTGTAGAACAATAGATGCAGCTAGATCCAGCCAGAC